ATAACTAAATAATCAATATTAAGCAAAGATCACCATGAAGGTAGTAACGATTAAAAAATTGCAACTTATTGAGCAGATTGAACTGTCTCTCCATAGGCATCCATTTGAGTTGTACCTTCCAAAAATGGAAACTGATTAAGCTCATGCATGAATCCATACTCAAACTGATCCCCAAAACCACCCAAAAACCCTTCTTCTGAATTTGCAACCTTCCAAATCTCCTCTTCTCCCTTTATCCTCTCTCTAAATTCTCCATGATGCAATAACTTCTTGCTCGAGCCGAATATTTTCTGCTCGTTTTTTCGCGAACTTCTCTTCGCCGTCCTCTTGCTTTGATCGCCGTCCGTTGGCTTCCCTGTGAGCCTTTGCACGAGCTCTCGAAAATTTTCCGCGTCCGTTTTGATGATCTCAGGTGCGAATATGTGAATTATCCGGATTTTCGGCTTCGATTTGGATATAGTTTGTGAGTTCTTGTGCATGGATAGTATTGGTGGTGGGGTTGCTAATTTGGAGGAGCAAATTTGATTTTCTATGAATTTTTCCATTGTCATGTGTGTGTTTGTAATTTTGAAAGAGATGAAAGGGAAAATTTGTTTGAGGGTTGGTGTGATTGTTTGGAAAATAGATGTTATGGGATGTTAATATGTTGTATAATGTATGAATTCGGTGTCTATTTATATATAAATACAAATGTGAAAGGATGAAATTGTATGCTCAATCATTGAAGAACAATATGGAGAAAATTAAGTATATATTAAATTAAATAAAGTTGCCAATATGTTGTAGGCAAGTATTGTATGAACCCAACTATGACATAATATATCGGATGAGAGAGTCAATAAAGTATATAAACTCAAACAAAAAAGAAAAAAAAAAAAAAATGGTCCCCCAATTTCACATAGCAATCAAATATTCTATGTATACATGCGTATCAAGAGTTTCGTACTCAAATCACACGGTGGGTTCTTAAATTGTTTGGTTGCTATTTTTTGAAGGGAAAAAAATGGATAAGAAAAATAAACAGAGGTCATTTTGTAATGAAATTTATTTGGTTAGAAATTTTATTGAAGCAGTTAGTTAGTTACCAACTTGAATGTTCAACAATTTTTTTTCCTAGTTGAATAATGGAATATTTGCTGTCATTAATTATTTTTTCAGTTGGATATTATTTCTTTTCATGATTGATGGGTTGAGAGGAGACATTAACACCTCAACCTCTGTACTGCATTTCAGGGGCAATTGGGGTCTTTAATTTGATTTCTATGATAAGAATTAATTAAGATGCCTCTTGTATTTTTCCTCTTTTTATTCATACAAAATTCTATACAACAAATTGTTTATTCTTATTCTAACTGTAATTATCTATTTCTCGTGCCATCCTTGCGAATCTCTCTTTATCATTTTATCGGATGTCCCCAAAGTTACTATTGTAATTAATTCTCTGTACAGATAATTAATTGTAATTATTTATGTAAGGAAATGCTTCGTCAATGAACCATATATCTTCATGTAAAGGAAAAGAAATATAGTTTTCGTGACGGGGTGTGGGAGGAGGGTTTGTCAAAAGATTCACATATACAATTGAGATTACGTGATTTCATGATTAAATAGAGGTGGGATTCCTAAATGTATATGTAAGGTCTTGCGCTTCACCTGTACAACTAAGGATGGCAGCGGTTCGGGTTCGGATCGGATGGAACCTCAGAGCACCCAAAACCAAAACCCAAACTTAAAAACCAAAACCAAAACCAAAACTGTTTCGGGTGAAAATCCTTCACCAAAACCAAAACACGCGGATACCCAAAAACCAAACGGATACCCAAAAAACCAAAAATATTATAATAAAACACCAAAGACAACAACATAAAACATGATAACGCGAGGAGAGGGAGGGGTCACGCACGGGAGTCGGGAGAGGAGAAGAGTTCGGTCGGCATTTTTTTTTAGTCGGGATGTTGGTGGCGGCGCGGCTGTTGGTCACGCAGGCACGGGAGAGGATAAGAGGCAGAGGAAATTTCCACTTATATAGCTAGGGTTTTTGGTGGGCTTTTTGATGGGCCGTCTATTTTGGGCACCCAACGGAGCACCACGGGCGAAATATAGGATCCGCACCAAAACCGAAGACTTTCGGGTACCCGAAACCGCAAAACCATGGGTGAAATTTGGAACCAAAACCGAAAACCGCAAAACCAAAAACCGCGGATATCCAAACCGAAACCGAACCGCTGCCATCCTTATGTACAACCACATTTGTAATTAACTATTATATATTTGAAAATATTTGTAATTAACCACATTTGTAATTAATATAAAACGAGTTGAACTCGAGTTCGTTTATCAACCTGCGTTGTTAAAGAGCTCAAACTCAAGTATCAAAGAGCTCGAGCTCAACACACACATATTATTTAAAGAATAATAAAAAGAAAAGGGTGCACGGAAAGCATGAATATAAGTTAATAATGTTACATATATGCAGCCGGCAATAATAATCTTTCTCGTTTAGTTTGTTGAAACGCACGCAACATGATTCAAAAATATATGCGACTCTGTGAAAGAGTTGCAGAATAGAGATATTTTGACCCGTATCGCAACCGTCGATCTGCACGTGGGTGGGGTGTCAGTCAGAGCATCCGTAAAAGGCCCATCGTGCAGGCCCATTATACCACAGATTCCGTGTGTGACAGACATACGAGACACGAGCCTCGTGTGCTGCCTGGGCCGGCCCACATTATGTCCTTCAATGGCCCCATCTGGACAAGTGGTGGGTCAGCGTGTTTGACCATTTCAAACCCAAACTACTTTACTCTCTTGCATTGTACAGTAAAAAATAGCTCAAAACATACATAGAAGCCACAAGAAGATCCCCACTTCCCACAACTTGAATTGCTTGCTGCAGCTAATCTAAGCATTTCATTTACTACATTTCACAAAAAAAATCTAAAGCTTATGACAAATCACAAGATTGATTGTAAAAGAAAAAACTAGCTAAGAACTTGTTTAACTTGCATTTCTTTTCGGCGGTACACGTTTGGCATCTGAAGTCGAAGCCTAACAAACACGAAACACATTAGAATCACAATCATCCAAGTTTCACACCAACGTAACCATTCCCCGAACTTTGGAAGCATTTTGTTGGTCCATTAACCTCCGTACTCTCTCCGAGTCCTCAAACCTACCCGCACCACAAAATATATTGGACATTAGCACATAGTCACCTCCATATTCTCTCTCCATCTCCATGATTCTCCTCGTCACTCTCTCTCCTCTCTCAACATCACCATGAAAGCTACACGCACCTAAAAGCGTTCTCCACACCACACTGTTATTATTACCAATCTCATTAGGTATGCTGAGAGCTATTTCCTCGGCCTCCTCCAATCTCCCGGCCCTTCCCAACATGTCGATCAAAGTCCCATAATGCTTAATCCCCGGTAAAATCCTATAAACATCGACCATCTTTCCGTAAAACTCTAGCCCTTCATCCACGAGCCCCCCATGGCTGCACCCACTCAGCATACTAAGAAAGGTAATTTCGTTCGGCTTCAAACCTTTATCTTCCATTTTTTCGTAAAATCCGGAAGCTTCTACAGCCATTCCGTGCATGGCGAATCCAGATATAATAGAAGTCCAAGAAACTAAATTCTTTCTCGTATCATCTATGTCCTCGAATACTCTAAAAGCACTTTCTATACTCCCACATCGAGCGTATGCATCGATTAAACAGTTCATAACACGAATATCCATGCTATTGAGTCCGCTTTTCTCTCCATAAGCATGAACAACTTGGCAGAACAAGAGAGACCCTGTACTCCATATGGATGGGAAAATTGCAAGAAGGGTCACTTCTGTCGGCTTAATCCCTTCATGAACAGCCATTTCACGGAATAAAAACAAGGCCTCGTCAAATCTATTCATACGAGTATACCCGTCAATTAGCCCGGTCCATGAAATCACGTTCTTTTCCGGCATCACGTTAAAAACGGCCCTTGCGAATTCAATCTCGCCCCACTTGATAAACCCCGTGATCAGAACATTCCACGTCACCACATTCTTCTCGGGCATTTTATCAAACACGTTTTGTGCCTCGACAAAACACCCACAATCCACATACATGTTCACCAGTGCAGTCTGTACATGAACATGGCACCCAAACCCAGCTTTGGTGCTCAGACAGTGAAGCCCGTTACCTGCACCGGGCCATTTCATATTAGCACAGGCTTTTATGAGGTACGAGTACGTGAAGCTGTCAAAGGACATGGTATTAGATAGGTTCCTCAGAAATTTGAAGAGAAAGATGGAGTCTTGTGGGGATGCACTGAGTGAATAATGCTTGAGAATCGAATTCCAAAGAGCAAGAACGCGAAAATGTTGGGTGTTGAGGACTAGCAAGTGAGAATGGATTTGTTGGATGGCCCGAGTGCAATTTTGGTGTTTGTGGAGTAGTGAGAGAAGGCGATTGTAGTGGTATTTCGTACGAGACATAGCCACGGCCGTGGCTTACCGTGATGCTGTTATTCCAAAGTGACTGAACATCATAATCTTCATCTTACCATTAACCATATGATGTTTGATCATTTGCTGTATAAGAAAAAACAATCACACGTTTATTCAGGGGAGCACATTGTTAACGACTTGAACATTGGGGAAGAAACGAAGAGGAAGAATAAGAGGAGATTCAAGTGAACCTGAGGGATAAAGGAGTCTTCGAAAGTGGCTCCGGATAATTATTTCCACCGGCGTTTTCTTCTCGCCACGGCTGAGCTAGGGTGTTCGTTTGTAGCTATCTGAACTGATTGAGAGCTAATAAAAAATTAAAGGAGATGGAGATTGAAAAGCTTGACGCTTTTCTTTTCTTTTTTTTTTTTTCCCTCCGTTTACCTTTGTACGGCGGACGGCGTGCTCGCCGGCGAAGGTCTTCTAAACGGCCAGAAAAACCTTTTTAATAAATTCTGAAAATGTATTAATTGAATGTGATAATATCGTAAATATTTGATTAACTCAAAAAATGTATTATGCATAAAACTTGTGTTTACATCACATAATTCTCAGAATGAAAAGTTGGATACTCAAATAATGTATTCTGAAAATACTTGGTTAGCATCAAGTTGTTTATAAATTATATAAACATATTGAAACTCCACAAATCTTGAATGAGACTTTCCTCCCAACTTCACGCCATTCAAATATTGGTGATTATTTAGCATACAAAAATATTTTTACGTCGAGAACAAAAAAAAAGAAACTTAAAAATTTCGTAGTATAGCCCTTCTAAATGAACTCTATAAATATGGATTAACAATAATATAATATTCATTTAGAAATTGGTTGACACATTTACATATTTGATGATGTATAATTAGAGGAAAATGCTATATGTACATAATAAATGTACGTAGAGATGTACATAACACTCACATGGAGTGGGGTTCACTTGATTTTTTATTTTTATTAGTAGATACCACTCAATGTGAGTGTTATGTACACTCCTATGTACAATATTATGTAACTATAACATTACCCATAATTAGAAGGATGAAGCCATTCAGCTTAACCGGTTTTGCTATGAAGCCAACAGTTGGCTCTATAGTGGAGTCAACCTTCTATATACAACAAGTAAACCTACCATATTCGTTGATTATTTAAATAACACTAATATAATTTTATTAATATGGTAAATTTACTAGTTGTATATAGAAGGTTGACTCCACTATGAAGCCAACTGTTGGCTTCATAGTAAAACCGCCAACTTAAAACCTTATATCCACATTTTATTTTACTTTTATTCTAATGATATACATTGGAGAGTAAGCAATATTTATCAAAATCATAAATAAACTCAATTATCACAAATTACATATCTTTACAAACAATAACACTTCATCATATATTAATCATTTCCACAAAAAATATATATTAATAAAGGAAGAAACAATATTAAAAATATAATGATTAAACTTGATTTTATGTATACGTAGGAAATATGTGATTAGAAGTAATGAATAGTTAAAATGTGATTAGAAGTAATGAATAGTAGGAGATATGTAATTAGAAGTAATGAATAGTTAAAATATGATTAGAAGTAATGAATAGTTAAAATGTGATTAGAAGTAATGAATAGTTAAAATTACGTTATTCATCTAAATTAAATTAAAATTAAATTAAAATTTCTTGTACCCAAAAAAGAAATTAAATTAAAATTGATGTACTATATGATATGATTAATTAATATTGAGAACAGGGTTAAGTTAAGTTTGAATTATATTTGAATTAAAAAAAATATATATATATCTAAAAACAATGAGGGCCTAAATAATCTTTATTAAACATAGACATAACTGAGAAACAACATAGGTCTGAGGAGGAAGACAAGCAGAAACCAAAGACAACAAGTCTAGTTGATCTAACATAGGTCTCGCAAACACAGCAACACAAAATCCTAGTCCATAAAAGATCAACTGCAGATCAAAAGGCCCACTCCTAAAACTCAGAAGACCCCCACAAACCAAACTAAAGCTTGTTCTTGTACCAGAACACACCCTTATCCTTCTCACCCTCATCCGCCTCCACGTACACGCACTCCTTCGCCTCCCTCCACACCGCCTTGTAAACCGGCGTCCCGTCAAACTGATAATAACTCCCCAAAATCGGCTTAATCGCCTTGGTGGCCTCCATCGCATTGTAGTGTGGCATTGTCGAGAAGAGATGGTGGGCCACGTGCGTGTCGGTTATGTTATGGAAAACCTTGTTCAATATCCCGTAATCCCTATCCACCGTGGCCAGGGCCCCACGCAGCCAGTCCCACTCGGACGAGTCGTAGTGCGGCAAGGACGCGTGCGTGTGCTGCAAATACGTGATCAGAACAAGAAACCCGTTCACCACGAGCAACGGGCCTCCGTACACAGCAAAGGCCCACGCAGGCCCGTTTGCTGCCGCGAGCCGGTAGAGCCCGTAGCAGACGGCAAGGACTCCCACGTCCGAGACCAGAATCTGGGCCCGTTCGCGGTCGGAGTAGATCGGGCTTTTCGGGTCGAAGTGGCACGCAAACCGTTCGTAGTGTCGGCCCGATACGTTGAACATGAGGTATAGCGGCCAGCCGAGCATGAACTGGACGACGAGAGTGAGAGTGCGGCCCACCGGATTGTTGATGTATCTGGCGAACCACTTGATTTGGGCCTTTGTTTTCGGGACGAAGACCTCGTCTCGGTCGAGGGAGCCCGTGTTGGAGTGGTGGCGGCGGTGACTGTACTTCCAGGAGAAGTAGGGGACGAGGAGGGCCGAGTGGAGGACGAGCCCAACCGAGTCATCGAGCCACTGGTGGTCGCTGAAGGCGTGGTGGCCGCACTCGTGCGCGATGACCCACACGCCTGTTAGGACGCAGCCCTGGACGAACCAGTAGGCGGGCCAGGCGAGGTAAGGGAGAGGGTTGGGGAGGATGCTGATGTAAGCGGTGGCGAGGTGGTAGAGGATTGTGGCTATGGTGAGGTCGAGGGCCACGTAGGAGAAGGAACGAGGGATGGAGCGCTTGAAGCAGTGTGGGGGAATGGCCTTCTTGAGGTCACCGACTGTAAACGGGGGCTTCGAGTGTGGGACCCGCTTGAGGGGCCGTGGGGCCATGCTCGAGGGGGGGACTGACATTCTGCCTCCGGCGCCCATTTTCGCTCAACGACCCTGCAAAAATTGTACCGTATTGACAATCAGACTAGCTAGTTTTTCCTTTTTCGTTTTATATATATTCTAAGATGCCAACAATGTGGACTATAGTGCAGCCAAAAAAAGTAATGTACAAATATTCAAGTCACGAGTGATATTTGTTTGTTTAGAAAAGTATTATGAAATCTTTGACTCATGGACTGGGAAATACAACTAGCAGCTTTCAAAATTAAACCTTAAATAAAAGCATTGGAATAATTGTATGTTCAATCATATTAACTCGGTCATTTTGTCTGAAAATATCTTTGACTCGTGTGCTGAAACCACATGGATTACAAACTAGGACGGCTAGTATAAAATTACACATAATTAAAAAAAAAAAAGGCATAATATTTAATCACTCTGCATAAATAGATCTCATCTCACCAACCATTATCAGTACAAATTTATATAAAAAAAATCCTGACCGTATATAAATAATCTGGATGGGCCAGAAGATCTTCAAAAGCAACACCATCAACCACAGGCAAACTGAGGTCCATAATTTTCAGAAAAAAACACACATACACACACACACTCACACAATAGTTTTGTCCTTTCTAACACATGTGACTGTGTGAGACTCAAACAAGAACCTTCAATTACTACCAAACAAATGACAGTATTGCTACTCTGACTATTAAAAATAACGCATATATGGACATGGCTCTTCACCAAACTAAAGATCAGTATTGCAAAGAACAGAGAAACACTACTTTAAGAGCTTGCATACTGCAGTTTATGCATAGTGAGTGCCCTGTAGAATTATGTGCAAACCCAAAACTCTAATATAAATATGGCAGATTAGCAATTATATTACTTTGGAGACAACAAAAAGCTAACCTAAATTCACGTACAAGCATCCATTCATGTGGCTGTAACATATAAATGCAATGCGCAAACAAAGAACAAAGACTGGATTGCCTTTTTATTCATTTATGTTCGTACTTTAGAATAATAAAATATATACCAAGAGTCTTGAGGAAATTCGGATCCAATTAGGAATGTGTTCTTTTCATATGTTCTTTGAAATAAATAGCATACTTACATATATTTTTTTTTTTTTCAAAAAACACAGCTTTTGCAACTTCTTCAACTAATACTCTAATCTTTTTCCAGAAATCTTAGCTGTAGCTACATTTCAAAAATAACAAAACTCTGGCCTTGGGAGAAAACTGATAATTATAATATTTAACCAAAGTTTTTCAAAGGCTGAGCTATAACGGTGAAAATGAAAATATAAAGTTCGAGACTTTTTGCTCAAAAACTCAAAGTAGAATGAAGATAAGCTTTTTTATTCCACAGCCATGAAAGACCGGTGCGCAGATGGACAAAGAAACTTCAGAATCCAGTTAAAAATCACCACTTGACATCATTAATCGAGACCCATATACTAATGCAAATTACAAAAACAATAACAACTGCTGATAACTAAGTCAATAATTAAGACCAGATTCCAGGATACATGGATATTTTCAAGGGAAGAAGTGAGAGAAACAAACAAAAAGAAAACAGGGAAAGGAAAAGATTAAAAAAAAAAAAAAACCAACGGATCTGGTTTGCCTCAATTTCACAGGCACAAATCCTAAACAAATCACATGCATTAATCAAAAAGGCACCCCAACCCACATCGAGATCCATTCCCCATATGTTGAGATAATTAGCATGCATTAAACAGAAAAGCACCCCAGCCCATAACTAGATCCATTCCCATTTGTTGGGCTAATTGGCAGCATCAGAAACAAGCTCAGCTACACAACAGTCTCATCTCAGCTCACATTCATACCAAAATCGAACAAGCAAAAAGATCCCAGGTGGGTACATCAAGATCTACCCACATTCTTCTACCAATCAATAATTCCTCTGTCCCAATTAAAATTTTCAACACATTGTAGGAGAAAAAAAACATGAAGAAAAAAAGATTCAATCTTTGATAAAGAAACATACCTGATTTTTCTTCTTTCCTTTCTCTCTCTTTAGCTGGGAAAAAGAAAGTCTTGATTTGGTGGGGCGTTGATTTTGGCCGGCACCAGAATTACAGCCCTATTCACGGGTGGTGCAAAAGCAATGAGCTTTTGATCTCTATTTAAGCTTTTTTTTTGTTGCAAGATTTCCCTCCTCCTGAAAGGGCGGACCCCACCTCACGCTACGCCACTCCCTTGCGACCCGATTTTTTGTTGGGGCTCACGCGCCTGCAGATTCGTATTTTCATGTTGCACCGCTTGAAATTTAAAAGAGAGGGATGGATAATTTATATTCCTAAGTCTATGTTTAGTAGACAACATTATTTGAGTTTGACTCAGTTAAGGATTTAATTCAACTGTGTAGATTCAATAAACTAGACGAATAAAAGCTTATTGAAAGTTCGATTATTAGCTTATTACACTAACGAGGCGAGACTAAGGAGGTCGACTCGATTTATTTATAATCCTAATTTCAATAGACTTCTAATTCTTTTATTTCTTGTTATTATTTTAATTCTATCATCTTTCTTATTTTAAATTGACTATTAGTAGTATTTTACATGTGTTACGTAATTGGTAGAATTCGAATCCACATTGGAGTGGGATATTTAGTTAATTGACTAATATTTTAAATATGTTGTGTAATTTGTAGAGTGAAATCCACATTGGAATGTAACATTTATTTTTATTTCGTCTTAAACGCGTATAGTGCAATATATGCAGTTAATAACTAAATGACACTTTAATTCCTAATTTGAGTATTTCTTTTTTTTAATGATTTTAAATTTTTAATTATGATTGTGAACATGTATAGAGATTTTCTGAAACAGCTGATTGCCGCAAATAACTTATTTTTTATTATCTTATTTCATGTATTTTATTGTGCTCGATGGATGTTAGGTGCACGTACATAGATTTAATGTTATTCAATGGCACTAGTGCACACTTATTCCTGTTCAACCTGCAATGTTTAATTTATTTTTATGTATTTAAGATTTTGTTTTGCTATTGTAAGAATATCTCATCCTGAAATTATAAAATGTCATTTACATGCTAAACCAGAAAATTAGTTTATAGGGAGCAAAAGACATGACATAATTTGTAAAAGATTATAAAAATGCATAAACCAAGTTACCTTATAATTATAATTGTTGGCCTTGTGAGTAGAGCTGTAAACGAACCGAAAGTTCACGACCAAAATCTCGTTCAACCTCGTTCGTGTTCGACAAAAGCTCGTTCGTTTGTTAATTGAGCCGAATTCAAACAGAAAATTAGGCTCGTTTAATAATCGAACGAACACGAGCTTGTTCGTGAACGTTCGATTAGGTTCGCGAACATTAATTTAATATAAGTTTATTTTATTTTTTATATATTTACATAATATTTTTAATAAAAAATTTAAAATATATTAATATTTTTATTTTATTCTTTTATTTTCGAGTTCGAACGAACAAATTTCGAGTTAATCAAACATATTTAAAAAGTTTATGTATTATAATATTCGAACACGAACGAACTTGAACCTTGACGAACAATTAAACCGAACACGATTTTTTGCTTGAAAAATAAACGAATGAACACGAACACTGTTCGAACGTAAACGAACACGTGCTCGAACAACCCAAGCTCGATTCAGTTCGGTTCGTCTACAACACTACTTGTGAGTGACGTTTAAATACAAAAAATCTGGGGGTGCAAAGAATAATTTAAAATGGGAACAAATTAAAATTTTTAATTATAATAGTAAAAAAAATTAAAATTTGAGGGGGCTATTGATAAATGCAAATTCGCCTCTTCAATTACTTTGAAAGCATGTACGAGCTGGTTCAAATAAAAACTAGTGCTGGTGTGAGAACCGTGAGAACCGTATTTGATGCTATTTTTAATTATGTATGATACTATTTTTAATATTAAATGATGCTATCATTTTTACAAGTGCTACCAGAAATTGTGTTGCTATCATAATTAAAAAGAATCGTAGAAAATCGAGAAGGAAAGAGTAGAGAGATAAAATAGAGAGAGAGTGTGAAGGGCAAAAACATAATTGAGAGTGAGTAGTAACAAGGAGACGATGAATAGTAAATGAGAATCATGAATCTTATGAATTATGTTATTCTTGACAGAAAAATATTAATATTGTGAATATTTAGCCCACTTTTTAATATTCAACACGTTAAATATAACAACTCATGAATTCGCTCTTTTTATTAAACAAAAAAAGTTGTTCTCATATTAATAAAAATCGTTTTTATTGATCCAGATCATAAGTAATTTCCTATTGAAGATGACGCTTAAAGTCAATTTTTCATTTCGAACACTTTAGGTCAACATTGAAATTATTCGTTTCATATGTTAAAAATTAATAACCATCACCAAACAGAATCAGCAATAGAGATGCTCTAATAATAAGAGATATGAAGAGAAAAAAAGGTGACTTGTATATTTGTATTTTCAAAGCTATAAAATATCTCAAAGACTAAAACCTAATAGTATAATAATGTAATCCCAAGACCCGAATTCTAGCACCCCTAAAAGTGCTATTAAAGCATTAACACGGCATCACAATTATAACCAACAACCATTTTTTCAACCGTCCACGATTTTTTTTTTATTTTTTATTTTTTATTTTTTATTATCGTGCAATTGCAGGCCATCTTTTGTCCGTGTCTACCTTCTTTTCATAAATGCTTTGTTTCTGATTGTGTCAGCCAACAATTTAATTGGATTAAATGATACATCAGAATCCAAAAACCAGAGATTTCACAAATAAAATATTCCTTTTATTTTTTCTTATTTACTTTTAATATAGAAATATTTATTATTCATAAATTTTCGTATGAGTAAGTCTAACCATTATGCCAATCCACACACTATATTATTTGAACAAAAATACATAGGTATATCAAATTTTTTTCTTAAGTATGTTTTCCAATAGAAGTGTATAATTACATGAAAAATATCTATTTAATGATCGGTTTATGATTTTATTGTATGAATGTGTGGGAGTAAGTGAGTACAAAGCAAACACGTCACGCATGGGTGTGTGGACAATCTTAGCCAAGTTGCGGTGTATGTACATGCAAGAGGTTTCGATACGTTCGAGGCCACCTATCCATTGCACTTTCTTGGAAATAGGTCATTTTTTTATTTTTTTTGGCTATTGTATTCAAACTTGACAGCACACTTTTTTTCCTTGCAAGGAAAAATACATTATGCATACTATTGAAATTCTGGATGATTAGGAATACAAAATTAAATTACGTGGTTCATACTACTTATTTGTAGAAGAGATGAAGAATCATTTATTTAATTAAAAAAAAATATGTGGCAAAAAATAAAAAATAAAAATTGTGAAAAAAAAATAAAACGGCCGGATTTTGAGAATCCGTTTTTCATTAATTCCGATAAAAAAATGAATTTTCAGTGTTTTTCCTTAATCACGTGATTACCCGTAATTAATTTAACTAAAAACGGATTTTCAGTGTTTTTCTTTTATTTATTATTTTTTTTATGTTATAAAAATAGATTTTAAGAATCCGTTTTTATGTATTTTTTTTATTTTATTTTTTTTAAGTTAGGCTCGACTCTTGGATGCTCACGAACTCATTTACCAGCGATCGCTTTTATTTTGGCTGAATTTTTATTCTTATCTTTCAATATGAATGTTTTTTATAAATTTTGATTTAACATTTTGAACATGAAATAATATCACTTTAATATCAATTCATAAATCTAACATGCATACATATATAAAACACTATATAGAAAAAGACAACCATAAGTACCGACAAAAAAAAAAGTGAACCACAAAATATGTACCCAAAACCATCAAGAATAAATATCTGAAAATCCAATACAAAAAAAAAAAAAAAAAAAAAAAA